TTCCTATTAATTTTATTACTCCGAAATAGAAATAAATATACAGTCAAAAATGGTGTAGAATTTGTAGAAAAAATGAAGGATATAAAATTGAATAAGGATGATTTGTTAGCATCATCTGATGTAATATAAGGATGATTTGTTAGCATCATCTGATGTAATATAAGGATGATTTATTAGCATCATTTGATGTAATATTATTATTTACAAAAGTTCCAGTTGAAGATGCAATTAAGTGTTTTGAAAATACATTGTTCCAAAATAGAACTTCCACAGTTGAAATTCTAGAAATAATTAATTTAACAAAGGTGGATGTTACGAATCAATTCTTTCAGGTTAACAATGTTTTTTATCGACAAAATGAAGGGTTGGCAATAGGATCTCCACTTTCACCATTGTTATCTGATTTATATATGAATGCATTTGAAATAAAAACCATAAATGGTACAAAAAGTAAACCAGAGATTTGGATAAAGTATATAGATGACATTCTTGGTGTGTAAATATGGTATTGAGACATTAATAGAATTTGCAAACTATTTGAATAGTATAGAACCTTCTATACAATTTACTCATGAAATTGAGAAAAATAATAGTTTGCCTATTTTTTTAGATGTATTGGTAAAAAAGGAATGAACAGGGATTTTTAGAAACATCTATTTATAGGAAACCTTTTTTTTTATTCTTATTTCCAACACACCAGAAATCATGTCATACAGAAACAGAAAAATTTGAGGATATGTACAAAACAAGATGATTTTAAAAATGAGTTGTTACTGATAAAATATGCAGCAGTTGAGAGAGGATTTAATTCCAGTATTGTAGATAGAGCAATTAATATATTCAATAATGTGGCAATAATAGATCAGGGTATCACATTGAAACCAAGTTATCATAAAATTAAGAAGGAATGTTTAGTTTTACCATATATTTCAGGTTTAACTACTGGTTTAATGTTTTGCTCTATATTTAAACCGATAAAAAAGATAAAACAATTTTAGGCAATAGTAAAGATGATGTAAAATTAATGGATAAATTTGCAATTTATAAAATTAAATGTGAATGTGGAAGTATCTATATTGGACAAAGAAAACATAATTTAAAATATCGTATAGCCGAACATAAGAGATGGATAAAAATGAAAAAATACAACAGAAAATTCGGCTATAGAAGAACATGAAAGTAAAACCCAACATAACATATTGTGGGAAAAAAACAATTCTATTAGCTCAACCTAAAGGTATTACAGCAATTAATACTCGAGAATCTCTGGAAATAATGAAATTTAAAAATAATCATAAATAGAGATGAAGGTCCGGTGAATATCTGTCTGAGAATGTGGCGAGACCTGTTCTGATATTTATGCACAAATGAAAAATTACAAAAAGGTCAGGTGATATTTAAGAAAATATAAAAATATGAAATTTATCTCTTGCAACTTCGCTCCTGAAGATGACGTGTGATACATCGAAACATGTATTCATTATTTTGATATGATTTTAATTGCGTATTGATTTTAACGTTGTATATTTATTATTTTAATTTTATACACAAGTGCCGATATAAATATTTATATGTCAGATACAAACTGTCCTAATTGGGACGTTTCCTACTAGAAATTAATTTTGTCTGGGGTTTTCGTTGGCGTTCCTTCGGAGTGATAGGTCG